AAAAAATTAGGTGTCTATTTACTTGTGACCACTCAGTGTACATCAGATTCCAGTGAATAAATGAAACATGGACAGCAAATAAAAAACAAAGAAACACAAGTGAGCAAATTAAAAAAATATATTTTTACTAAAATGTGTGTGTGTGTGTATTTGCCAAATTGCCCACCTTCTAATTAGCTATATTCAATCTAGCTTCTAAGGATTATATAATACTGCAATTTCAAGTCAGACAAAGGGTCAAGTGCAGTATCCCTTAATCCATAGGATACCTATGTCATTGAGTATTGCAAATACCAAACATATCAAGAGAAAGAACTCCCAACTGATACCAATTTGTATAAGTATTTGTGTCACCCCCTTTAAGAAAGTTTATCCTGCCCTAGGGCGTGAACAAATACAAAGGCCAAACTGATACAGACTTCTAGGAGATAGTCATTGCTTTACAAGAGTAAAAGGATTAGCACATAATTATTATATTTTGATATTACGTTAACAAGAACAATTACACATAGAACACCTGCATAAAAACTTAGCAAAATTTTCTGAATATACTTTACTGTAATTATATTTTAAACAATTTATGGTGAAATTATTACCTTTTAGTGGGTTAGTTTTGTGATATAACTGATATGTTTGAGTTACGCACACACATACAGGTATATATGTATGTATGTATGTGTGTGTGTATGTGTATTTATATATATATACACATACAATAACATATGTTAAACAGTGGATACTTTTATTCAGATCTATTTCAAATGTATTTAGTGGACAGTATATAAAATGTATCTAATTTGCAATCAGAACAATTAATTTATTAAATAGGATTTCACAAAAATTTAAACAAATTACAAAGTACACAGATACACTTTAGAATACTGAAGTAAAAACATTGCTGTTTATTTTTTCCGTGAGTGGTGATAGACAAATCACCCATCTTTCATTAATCCTTCATGGATATCAGATGTATCTATACATATTTATTTATTTATATGATATACAGTTTGTTTTTTCTTTGATTTGATAATGATATATCAAAACTTCATAACCTCTACTACATGATACTCATAAATATTAAAGAAAGATGCAAATGACTTTCAGTTTTGATTTAATTCTACCTTAAACTTCATTTTGATGTGTTTGCTTCATAGGCTTTTGAAGTAGATTCCAGCACGAGGGCAAAGGATCTTTGTTACAACATATCAGTTCGTCTCAATCTACGAAGTGATGAAGGGTTTAGTCTGTTTGTAAAAATTGCAGATAAAGGTTAGAACCTGTGGTTGTGATTATTATTATATGACAAGACTTTCATATTCATATCTCTATATGTTTTTCTCTTGTTTCATGCTATGTTACAATTTATTTCTACATTCATTCACAACTTGTTCACATTGGACCCCAACTAGAACAGCAGTAGATACAAAAATCTCTACAATTATGTTAAAGTCTGTGATTGAATGTTGAATTGTGTAAATGTATTAGAGTTAGAAGCTTCCAGTTATATCAAAGTTCCCAATCTGGGTTAAATAGTGTAAATATATAAAAGTACATGAGATGTAAACTTTGTGACATGAGTGATATGGCAGAATATTATAAATCTAGGTTTAATACCAACATATCGTAGAACAGCTGGAGTTATAATAAAGTAAGTGGTAATGCAAAACATTAAAACCCTTGGTTTACTATAAAAGTATCATATAACACCTTGGGTTATAATCAAGTGAGTGGTAAGGCAAAACATAACAAACCTTGATTTTATATCTAAGTATCATATTACAGCTGGGGTTACAATCAAGGGAGCAGTAAGGCAGAACATTACAAAGCCGATATCAAAGTATCATGTAACAACTGGGGTTGTAATGAAGTGAATAGTAAAGCAGATCTTTACAATTCTAGGTTTTATATTAAAGTTATATTATAAAAATTGAGGTTATAATCAAGTGAGTGGTGAGACAGAACATTAAAAAGCTAGGTTTTATATTAAAATAGTATGTAACAACTGGGACTGTAATCAGTAGTCATATAGTTTTTGCTTCGATTTCATTATTTTAATTAATATAATCTTTTTTTTTAATTGTTTTGTCAAATTTATCAGTAACTTGAAGACACTGTTTATACCCTATCTGAAAGTATAATGAAAACATAAGCTATAAATTATTTTGGTTTTGAACTTGTTACCTATGAAAATTATGGTACAAGGCCAAGTGAAATTATGTGATCATTAACAAAGTATCATATCTATCTAACTTTGATAACTGTGATTGTTATAAAGAAACCTATAATTTATATATTTTCCAGTTTTCAGTGTTCAAGAGAGTAACTTCTTCTTTGATTTTGTAAGACACCTAACTGACTGGGTGCGAAAGAACCGACCTGCTAGAGAAGGTATAACAGATCTTGTTCTTTCACATACATGGCTATACTGTTTGGGAAATATGCCGATTAAAAGATGTTACAAATAGTTTTTTTTTGTGTATACTAACTTAAAGTTACAATTTATAGGTCTTCTTTGGTAGTTACAACTAAGAACAGATTCACTCCAAAAGAAATTTAGGAATGGAGTTATAAAAATATTACTTAACTGTTGAAGATGAGACCATTATTTTACAGTTATAACTAATAATATCATAACTGCTTTTTAAATTATTGTTGTTTTGGGTATAAGTATTTAAAATGTGCTAGCTAGATTTCAAGACACTTTACCTGTCGTTTATCTGACCCTGTTTTTAGATTTTTAATGAAGGTCTGTTTTGGAAAGTTAAAGAATTTCATTTGCTATTTTATCTGTGTTGTGCTTAGGCTTCTGTGAACCACTGTCTGCCTTTCTATACAGCCTGCTGTGTCAAGTTTTCATGTCATCACCTGTGACTGGTACTGGCCTGTTTCACGTCTGTATAAACATTTTAATAATGTTTGTTTGCTTGTGTGTCAGTTTATTGTTTTGTACAGATTCCTTGTCTTTTAACTTGTGTTTGTAAAGATTCTTACTGTTTCATATTTAAAAACATATGGACAAATATATACACTGAGTGGTCACAAGTAAATAGACACCTAATTTTTCGTCGTTTAACTGATTTAAGTTA